GAACCATGGACACTCATAACTGCATAGAATAATTATGTGCATTCGTCTTTTTTCTTTTTAAATTTTATTCAATCAGGTCATCAAAAAATTTCATCTCATGGAAAATCAAACAACAATCTCAACCATAGGAATATTTTAAGAATATCCTATGGCTGTGGGATTTAGTTGGGTTCACTCTTTATTCACTTCATTGGTATCGGAATAGTCTATTCTTTTGGGGATGGCAAATAAATGGGATATAAATTTTGATGAGGAGTATAGTGTTAGTGATGATGGCCATGATGATGAGGAAGAGATTTTTAATGATGTCGTTATGCAATAAGGTTGCCAAATTCTTAAGGTTCAAAGTGACATTAAAGAGGTTAAAGATTTTATCAATTTCATTAAGAATTTCCTACTTCGCATGAACCCTCAAAAATTGAACTAATCTTATGTCCATGATTATTATTGGTATATCAAATATGCCAAAGATTATAATGGAAATCATTATTAGATGTTTGTAATAGCTAAAAGGTTGATTTTTGGTTGGAATTGTGAGAAAGTTGTTAATTTTACAATCTTTGTAAAGATAAAGTGAAGATTGATTTTTTGGTGATAAAGCTCATGAATTATGCTTTTTCGTGGTGGTTAAACTATATCAAAGTTAATCCTAAGCCAACTTCCTAAAGTGATTTGACAAACCATTTCATTTGTCAAGAAGTTTGAAGAGCTATTAAAGATCAAATAAGGGACTTTGTCTTTGGATGTGTATATCCATAAATTCCATGATCTTTGTTTTAGTTTCATGGGTACCTATAATAAATTGTTAAAGGTGCAATGTTTCACCAAATAAGAATCTTTAGCAATGTTGACTAATGTTATCATTAAAGTTCAGATCTTTTCACCCAAACTGTCAATCTACTTTAATTAACAGAATGGTCTACATAGTAGTCAACATGATGACCAACCCATCAATGCTTCATATTCAAAGAAAAAATAACTATTGCTTCATAAGGGCTCAAAGAGTGGAGATGGCAATGAAACTAAAAAAAATTGTTTGGACTAGTGAGAGAAGGGGGCAATTATTTTTATTATCAATAAGCTAGACATCATAGCAAGGATTGTCTTTTTGTGATCAATATTTTCCAATCTTTTCTAGAATACATCAAAACATGCTATTATTCATGATTGAGATGAGAAGTGTCAAATGGCGTTTTAGTGTTTGAAGCAATATTATATTTCTACTACTATGTTGAAGATTTTTTATCTTGAGAAGTCTTTTGTGGTCAAGACAAATGCAAGTGACAATGCTATTAGAGCCATCTTGCTTTAAGTTGGGCATCTTCTTGCATATATGAGGCACAAGTTTGATGCTACATAATGGAATTGGCCTACTTAAGACAAGGAGTTATATGTTGTAATTGTTCTATGAAAGAATGACAACATTATTTATATAGATAGAACTTCTATATAAATTCAAACTATCAGTCTCTTTAGTATTTTAATTGTCAAAAGAATCTTCAAGGCCACCTTGTTTGTTGGCAAGAGTTCCTATAAGAAATGTCTATTAAAATCCAGTACAAATATGGAGGTGATAATAAGGTGGTTAATGCATTATCCATGATGGTAAATTCTATCTTATTTATGAAGTGATCCAATGATTTCTTGGATGAGTTTATGCAGTTTGTTAACTTCAACTCCTTTATCATTGATATTCATATGAAAGTTTTATTAAGGGTTTGAAGGGTGATAGATTTGTGTCATTTAATATACGAGATGGAATTCTGGAGAAGAAAGGATGCATGATGGTTCCTTATGTTGATAAATTCATCAAATGGATTTTGGTTGAATGTCATAATGTGCCAAGTATTGGGCATCTGGGGGTATTGAGAATATATATATTGGTGAAGACATATTTTTTTTGGCATGGGATGAAATTAGATGTTAAAAATTACATATGTGGTTATTTAACCTACAAGATAGTCAAAGTTGATAATCAAAAGCTCGCTAATCTCTATTATCCTTTATATGTACCTGAGAATAAATAGGATAACATTTCAATAAATTTTATCACTAGTTTACCAAGAGCTTTTAAGGAAATGATGCTATTAGGTTGTTATGGATTGTTTGACGAAGATTGTTCATTTTTTCCTAATGAAGATGACAATTAAAGCTTTTGAACTTGCTTAATTATTTGTAGACCAATTATTCAATCTCTATGGTTTGCTTGATAATATTGTGAGTGATCAAAATCCCAAGTTCATGTCCAAGTTTTGGCAAACAATTTTTGATAAGCTAGAGATTAAGTTGAGTATGAATAGTGGTAAGTATCCACAATTAGATAGGTAGATAAAGCACAAGTTAGAAGATATGCTAAAGTTGTGGGAAAACTTGACTCAACAAGGACTATGAGAGAAGTATTTGCCTTTGCTTCAATTTACTTACAATAGTGCTTATCAATTAGCTATTTGCATATTTCCATTTATGGCAATATATGGCTATGAGCCTAAGTTTCCCGTGAGGTTAAGTTTAGTTTTGGTTTGGGTGCCTCATACTTTTGATTTCCTATATGCAAGACAAACTTGAGT